TTGCTTGAGGCTGGATTTAACAACAAACTGGGAGATGAGAAATTGCTGTGTCATTATTGCAACAGAAACTTGGTTAAAGCCCTCTGTCCCAGATAATGCTATTAGCTTGATGGGATTTTCAACATTTCGGCTGGAAAGGAGTTTTATTCTTGGTGGCAAATCCCGGGCAGGGGGTGTCTGTTTTTATATAAATGACAGATGGTGTAATAATACCAAGGAGGTTTCAAGTCTGTGCTCCCCAGATGTGGAGCCTCTGACCATCAAATTTTTATTTTTTTATTTTATTTTATGAGACTTATATACCGCTTTAAGTGCAAGCACTCTCTAAGCGGTGCACACCAGTAAGCAATGTATATATATATTTACATTGCCCCCAACAATCTGGGTCCTCATTTTACCTACCCCGGAAGGATGGAAGGCTGAGTCAACCTTGAGCCAGTGAGATTTGAACCGCTGACCTGCTGAACACAATCAGCTAAAGTGGCCTGCAGTATTGCACTCTAATTGCTGCGCCACCTCAGCTCTTCTATCTGCCTAGAGAATTCTGTTACCATTATCACAGCTGTGTATATCCCCCCTGATGCAAACAGAGAAGAGACCCTGAAAGTTCTCTGTCACACCATCACTGACTTACAAACTACTTACCCAGAGGGTGCATTTATTGCAGTGGGAGACTTTAACCAAATGGATTTAAAAGCTACCCTGCCACATTTCCATCAATATGTGGACTTTGCAACTAGAGGGGGACAATACACTGGATCTTGCTTATTCCAACACCAAGAAGGCTTTCCAAGCTATCCCCCACCCTCACCTGGGCTCCTCTGAACATCTCTCAGTACTGTTTATTCCAGCATATAAACCATTATTAGTCAGAGTGAGGGTTTGGACAGAGGGAGTGATAGAAGCATTACAAGACTGCTTTGAGTGCATAGATTGGGGCATGTTTAAGGAAGCAGCTACTGATAATCAACATACAAATGTTGAAGAGTATGCCACCATGGTATCTGCATATATCCAAAAGTGCATAGAAGATGTCTGTGTCCTGAAAAGCTTCGTTGTCAGGGCAAATGAAAAACCGTGGCTGACTTCCGGTTCCAGATCGCAACATCTTTGGACGTGCAGAGGGAGGCTTCTCTCCGCCATTTGTTTTCCCTTTGTCGGAAGACCTTGGAAAGGGTCAAAAGTCGCCCTGGAGGGGCGACCACCATTGGGGAGGACCCTTGTTAGATTGCAGAATGGCGACAGCCCTTCCGTCTGATCCGAGGCAGCTCCTCAGGATCATTGAAGAAAAGATCACCAAGTCGCACCAGCCAAAAATCCAAATAACAGCTAAGCATATGAAGCAGGAGTGGAGGATTTGGGTGAGACCTTTTACTTTTCTTTTTCCCTAACCACCTTCCTGTGAAAGCTCCTTGAAACTCTTTCTCCTGCTCTCAAAACAGCAATGTTTGCATACTTGGGATTTTAAAGCTTGGAAAGAAAAAAAGAACAATTAACTTCAACAACCAAATAAATGGATCGTGGTCTTGTGGATACCTCGGGGTCCCAAAACTTTTTATTATAGAGACCTAACGTTTTCTTTCTTTAACTATCAATTTTGGAAAATATTGGGGGTTTTTGTGTGTTTTAACTCAATAAAAGGTTATTTGGCATCTGGGAAATGATTATATGGTCTGCTGGGGACATCTTGTGGTGAAACCTGGCATAGCAACTGAAATATTTTCAATTGTGCCTGTTGACTACCTTGATTTGTACTTCTAATTATCAAAAACGATAAGACGCGGAAACAGCTGTAAAACAATAATTTTTACAAAGTGTGGAGGTGGACAATGGCTGATTCTTACTAAACATAGCCTCCACTAAAGGACTACCTTTAATCACCATGGAAATGGAGGAACCCTATCCACAACTTAATTACAAACTTATCCTTGAAAAAATCCTTGAAGCTACTGAGCTAATCACCTCAAGGGTGAAAGCCAAAGATATTTTTACAAAACTACAAATTGAACCTCAGACTCAAACCGATCAACCTATAAGCCAAAAAATAACAGAAGATGAACAATTTAACATCAAAGAAGACTTTATTCAACAACATGCACAATCGAGAACTTTGATACTCAATTATTGACTTTAATTACAGCACCTGTAACTCCAAAAGCAAAAGGAATTGATCAACAAACACACTATATTGAGAACTCAGACAATTTAGATAGCCAAACAATAACCACAATATCGGATATGACTTTCTATTCTACTCAGATGAACCTGCAAGAAGAGGACCAGACTGAATCGATGATAAGTACTTTAAACCAAACATGGAGATTTTAATTACTAGGGCAACAATAAATACAAAGGGGCCAGTTGTTTTGGAAGATTGATAACTGAACCTTCTCCCTTGATTCAAACAACAGGTGTGGGAATGAAATGAGATACGTCCAAGGTTTTAAAGGCACTGGCATGGAAAACCACTTGGCACAAAAAGAAAGCCAGAGTTAGATTTAAAAATGGGATTTAGAATTCCATCTAATGGGTAAAGCAGTTTTTTAGAGATATTGATTCCTTTAATATTTAGGATTTAGATTTATAATGGGAATTAAAATTAACTGTTAGATTATAACTTTAATTGCTATATGGGAATAGATCTGATAATGAAATATATTTTGCTATTAAATGAGGAGTTACTAGAATGAGAACTAGAATATATTTGTTTATAAAGGTAAATTTTGAAATAATGTGTATTTTAGTTACGTTAATTATTTTATAATGAAATGAGGGAAATTAAGGTTATCCAAAGCTTAAACAGTAGTTATAAAAGGCTAAATTGGAATATATAAATTGGAATTAAATAAAACCCCAAAACAGGACTTGGATATGTATAATTCAAATGTTATTGATAAATGTATTGATTGATTGAGCGTTAGCTAGAAATTTATTAACATGAATATGATATAATATTTGTGGGAAATAGTGAGGGAACATTTATTGATGTAACCTGAGATATATACGAAGGATTTTGTTATTGACTATTTACCCTATCACCACGCTGCTTCCCAAGTATTTGGATGTAAAAATTTGTAAAACTAATAAAACTTGTTTAACAAAAAGAAAAAAGAAAAACCGTGGCTGACTTATGAGGTCCACAAGATGCTGACAGCATGGAATGTGGCTTTCAAATCTGGTGACATGCTGGCACTTAGAACAGCCATAGCAAATCTGAAAAGTGCCATAACATATGCAAAACAAGCTCATTGCCAGAAAATTCAGAACTTTTTTCAGGACTCAACACCAGGCAAATGTGGCAAGGGATCCAGCCCATTATGGATTACAAGGTGGCTCCATCAAGATGCAAGGATAACACAGACTTCCTAAACAAACTGAATGCATTTTTTGGTAGATTTGAGGCATCAAATAGCACTCCTGCTAGGAAAGCTGTGCCCCATCCTGATGAGCAAGTGCTAAGCTTTGATGTCACCTCTGTCCAGAAAACACTGCAGTTAACATTCAGAAAGCAGCAGGCCCAGATAATATCCCTGGACATGTCCTCAGGGAATGTACAGAGGAGCTGGCTTGTGTTCTCATATATATTTTCAACCTCTCATTGAAGCAGGCAGGTCTCATCGTGTTTTAAGATAGCCATCATCTTGCCAGTGCCAAAAAGATCCACAATTACAGGCCTCAATGATTACAGACCGGTTGCACTGACATCCACCATCATGAAATGCTTTGAGAAGCCGATAAAGGACATTATTATATCTAGCCTCCCACCAGCATTTGACCCATTTCGGTTTGCCTAAAGACCAAATCACTCTATGGAGGATGCTATTTGTTCCGTTCTCCATCTGAGCTTGAAGCACTTAGAGGAAATACATACTCACGTGCGTTTGTGGTTTGTCGACTTCAATTTGCAGTTTAACACAATCGTTCCCCAGCATCTAGTAGACAAACTGGGCCATTTAGGCTTAAACACTCCTTGTGCAAGTGGGTTCTTCATTTTCTTACCAACAGGTCCCAATATGTGCGAGTTGGAACAAATACCTCTAATACCATTTTCTTGAACACAGGTTCTCCTCAGGGCTGCATCTTAAGTCCGCTGCTGTTCACCCTGTTGACCCGTGACTGTTGTGCTAGGTTTGCCACCAATCATATTGTAAAGTTCACAGATGATACAACAGTAGTGAGCTTTATTTAGGATGACAATGTGAAAGCTTACCGCAAGGAGACTGAGGGGTTGGTGATCTGATGTAAGGAAAACAGCCTAGTTTTAAATAGCAGAAAAACCAGAGATCATTGTCGATTTCAGAAAAGGCACAGCCACTCTTCTCTGTGCATAAATGACTCACCTGTGGAGATGGTTACCAGCATCAAATTCCTGGGTGTGCAGCCAACGTAGGCTGGCTTGGTCTCTCAACAGTGAGAAACTGGTGAAGCGGGCATAGCAACGCCTGCATTTTCTGCATCGCATGAGAAAAGTACATCTTCCTTCCCCTATCTTGACCACTTTCTACAGGGGGATGATCAAGAGCATCCTGTCATACAGCATCAGTCTGGTTTGGAAGCATCACTGCTTCAGACAGGAAGGCAGTGCAGAGTGGTGAGAATGGCTGAAATTAATCATTGGCTGTTCCCTCCCTCCCATCCAGGACATAGCACAGAAGCGTTGCTTGATCAGGGTCCATAAGATTATGGACACTACACATCCTCTTCACGACCTGTTTTCCTTGTTACCTTCTGGGAGCAGGCTTCGTGGTATCTGAAGCAGAACATCCAGATTCAGCCATAGTTTCATTCCATACAGCATTAACGTTGTGAACTCTAAAGCTTCATCTTTCTGTTATATATTCAAGATGGACAGTACTTAATATTTATTTGCTATGTATATGTAAGGCTGTGGGTCTATACATATGTTGTACATAGCATGTTTTAGGTGTCACGTATGTTTCACTTTGAGAGCGGGCAATTAAATTTCATTTTTGATGTGTGCCATTGTGCCCACAGTAAAAAAAAATGACTAGGTTATCTTATCTTAGCAAGGGCTACCCCCTCCTGATCCTAGAGCATGGAGAGTGGAGAAGAGGGAACAACACAGGCAGGCTCAACTTCTTGGGAGGAGAGCACCCCGCCCCTCTGCATAAGATATACCTGGAGAATGAGACTTAAGGAAACACTATGGGGAGGGGCATTTGTTGGGAAAAAATGCTGATTTCTTGGAGGCAAGCTTGTATTTCCACAGACTTGTTAGATTTTGGATGTATGTTTCATTCCTTGTTATCTATGTGGCCTTGAGTAAATTACTCTTCTAATCTAACTGTATGTGAAACTACTTGCAGCCAGAAGCTGCTGAGGTTGGGTGTGTCTTACTTTGTTCTGGGGCTTGCAAGAAACATGGGAGCATTTGGGGACAATTGGAGCAAATAAAGGACGGTTTCAACTGCCAGTTGACTGTTTTGCCTCTGTGCTTCCCTGAGTCATCACACTGTGCCTATCCTGTGGTGTATGTCAGAGCCAGCACAGCCAAATGTGAAGGTACAAGAGCACCAACATACCAAAGGGACAGAGGAACTAAAGTGGCAGACTTTGCTATGCAGTCAGCCAAGGTATTTCCCTTTCCATGTTTAGTATCATCCTTGCAATGGGCCCTCACATGCATAACAGCTATCTTGTGCAGGAGCAAAACAGCAGCCAGCAGCCTTAAAATGTCCTGCCCATATTTAATGGGAGTGCCTTAAGCAGTGACCAAACCACGCTCCTTCCACAAGGCCCCATGTTTGTCAAGGCACAGACAGTAAACAAATGCCTGAGAGAGTTGCAGCAGGAGCGGTGGCCAGTCATGGATTATATTAACGACTTCCAGGTGGTCACACAGGACCTCCAGTGGAATGAGGCCACCTTAATGGACCAGTTCCAGGAAGGCCTTAAATCCAATTTTCTCGATGAGTTGCTCCTCATTGACTCCCCACCCCCATGCTCCAAGAATTGATGCACTTGGACAGAGGTCTTCCTGACACCCACCAAACAGCTGCCGGTGCCATCGGAAGAACCCATGCAGTTGGGCACCATCCGACTGCACCTTCCCCACGCCCAGGATAGAAGGCGCCACGAAGGCCTTTTTGTGTACTGTGGTGGACAAAGCCATATGGCAGCCAACTGTTCTGCTAAAGTGACCAAGTTGACAATGGGAAATGATTAGGGCACAGCCTACAGAGCACAGTAGGCTGGGCTCACCTGGCAATGGGCCAATCCCAGCCTCCATGGCTGACTTCTTTGAAACACCTTGTGCTCATAGTGAACATGTCCATGCCGAGTCAGGGAGATGTGAAGGTTTAGGTGGACTCTGGAGCCACTGCTAATTTCATACTCAGACTTTGCCACACAGAGGTCCATTCCCCAGCAGCAGGTGACATCACCGGTCTTGGTGGAGACAATTGATGGTTGACCACTGCAATCGGGACTGGTGGTCACAAGACCCCTCCACATGCTCATCAGGTTGCATATGTAGGAGTTAGTGTTCCACATAGCTATTGCCTGTTGGTATTTGAGCTGGAGTGTTAGCAGGTCCATAATATGCAGATCATCTGATTGTCAGGGTTGGTAAAGTTCACCAGCCAGAAATGTGCTGCTCACTACCTGCATACCTGCACAGGGGTTTGTCTGAAAGTCCCAAATTCAAACTCATCGAGCGGCTCTAGCAGGCCAGGATATTTACTAACCTGGACCTGCGAGATCTACAACCTGGTCTGAGTTCAAGTTGGAGATGAGTGGAACATGGCTTTTCAGATGTGTTATGGACGCTTCGAATATATGGTTATGCTGTTTGGCTTGACCAATCTGCTTGGCATTTTACTGCATTTTTTGCACGATGTGTTCAGGGATCTGCTGGATCAGTTTGTAGTCGTTTGACTCAACGACATCCTGATCTGCTCATCCTCCCCACTAGAGCATTGGAAACATATTTGGCTAGTGTTGCAGTGTCTATGTGAGAACCACCTCTTTGCCAAGCAGGAGAAGTGCCCATTTATGCAAACCACGATTGACTTTCTGGGTCATTGCATTTTGCCCGAAATCTTGCTATGGGAAGAAAGATGAGTGTTCTGAACAGTCTTGCCACACTCCATATATTTAAATGGCTTCTCTGTGTGGATTCTTTGATGGATAGTAAGATGATGCTTCGAAATAAAGATCTTTCCACACTCCATGCATTTATATGGTTTCTCACCTGTATGAATCCTTTGATGGATAGTTAAGATCATTCCGATTAAATGTTTTTCCACTCGATGCATTTCAATGGCTTTTCCCAAGGATGTTTTTAGGGAAAGAGGAAAGTAAACAAAATTAATACATGAAATACAGACTATAGAAATTAATTAAGGACTGTTTTTACAAATGTAACCCAGACATCACACTGTTTACCAACTATTGAATGACTTACGTTTGTGTAAAAAACTAATAAAAATTATAATAAAAAATAATTAGTTTTTCCCGTGAGTGGATCCTTTTATGAGAGGTAAGATGGCTGCTCTGACCAAAGGTCCTTCCACACTCCATACATTTGTATGGTTTCTCTCCCGTGTGGATCTTGTTATGGGAAGAAAGCTGAGTGCTCCGAGCAAAGATATTTCCACACTCGATGCATTTAAATGGCTTTTCCCATGTGGATCCTTTTATGGGCAGTAAGACGACTATTCCAAATAAAGGTCTTTCCACACTCCATGCATTTAAATGGCTTCTTCCTTGTGTGGATCCTTTTATGGGAAGAAAGATGAGTGCTGCAAGCAAATGTCTTTCCACACTCCATGCATTTAAATGGCTTCTCCCCTGTGTGGATCTTATTATGTGAATAAAGATGAGCGCTTTGTGCAAAGGTCTTTCCACACACCATGCATTTAAATGGCTTCTCTCCTGTGTGGATTCTTTGATGGACAGTAAGATGACGCTTCGAAATAAAGATCTTTCCACACTCCATGCATTTATATGGTCTCTCTCCTGTATGAATCCTTTGATGGATAGTAAGACGATCATTCTGACTAAATGTCTTTCCACACTCAATGCATTTAAATGGCTTCTCCCCTGTGTGGATCCTTTTATGAGAGGTAAGATGGCTGTTCTGACCAAAGGTCCTTCCACACTCCATACATTTGTATGGTTTCTCTCCCGTGTGGATCTTGTTATGGGAAGAAAGCTGAGTGCTCCGAGCAAAGATATTTCCACACTCGATGCATTTAAATGGATTTTCCCATGTGGATCCTTTTATGGGCAGTAAGACGACTATTCCAAATAAAGGTCTTTCCACACTCCATGCATTTAAATGGCTTCTTCCTTGTGTGGATCCTTTTATGGGAAGAAAGATGAGTGCTGCAAGCAAATGTCTTTCCACACTCCATGCATTTAAATGGCTTCTCCCCTGCGTGGATCTTATTATGTGAATAAAGATGAGCGCTTTGTGCAAAGGTCTTTCCACACACCATGCATTTAAATGGCTTCTCTCCTGTGTGGATTCTTTGATGGACAGTAAGATGACGCTTCGAAATAAAGATCTTTCCACACTCCATGCATTTATATGGTCTCTCTCCTGTATGAATCCTTTGATGGATAGTAAGACGATCATTCTGACTAAATGTCTTTCCACACTCAATGCATTTAAATGGCTTCTCCCCTGTGTGGATCCTTTTATGAGAGGTAAGATGGCTGTTCTGACCAAAGGTCCTTCCACACTCCATACATTTGTATGGCTTCTCTCCTGTGTGGATCTTGTTATGGGAAGAAAGCTGAGTTCTCTGAGCAAAGGTCTTTCCACACTCGATGCATTTAAATGGCTTCTCCCCTGTGTGGATCCTTTTATGAGAGGTAAGATGGCTGCTCTGACCAAAGGTCCTTCCACACTCCATGCATTTAAACGGCTTCTCCCCTGTGTGGATCCTTTTGTGCGAAGTAAGTTGACTGCTACAAGCAAAGGTCTTTCCACACTCGATGCATTTAAATGGCTTCTCCCCTGTGTGGATCCTTTTATGGGCAGTAAGATGACTGTTCCAAATAAAGGTCTTTCCACACTCCATGCATTTAAATGGCTTCGCTCCTGTGTGAATTCTTTGATGTTCAGTAAGATAATCATTCCGACAAAATGTCTTTCCACACTCCATGCATTTAAATGGCTTCTCCCCTGTGTGGATCCTTTTATGGGCATTAAGACGACAGTTCTGAATAAAGGTCTTTCCACACTCCATGCATTTAAATGGCTTCTCCCCTGTGTGGATTCTTTGATGGGCATTCAGATGATTGTTCCGAATAAAGGTCTTTCCACACTCCATGCATTTAAATGGCTTCTCTCCTGTGTGAATTCTTTGATGGACAGTAAGATAATCATTCCGACTAAATGTCTTTCCACACTCCATGCATTTAAACAGCTTCTCCCCTGTGTGGATCCTTTTGTGCGAAGTAAGTTGACTGCTGCAAGCAAAGGTCTTTCCACACTCCATGCACCTATATGATTTCTCCCCTGTGTGGATTATTTGATGGTAAGTAAAGGAAGACTTTCGACAGAAGAGTTTTCCACAGTCAACACATTTGTATGGCCTCTCCCCTGTGTGAATCCTTTCATGGACAGTAAGTTGCCTGTTTTTTCTAAAATTCTTTTCCCATTCTAAGCATTTATATGGCTTCTCTTCTCTGTCAATCCCTTTCTGAGATGTAAGGGACTTATTTCCAAGAGAAAGAGGGAAAGTCCCATTGTGTCTACTTACGGCATCTTCGCCTTTGTTTTGGATTGGACAATGTTCATTTACATGCAATTGAGCTTTGATTAACTTTACACTTTTCCCAATGCATTTCTTCCTTATTGTCTCTTGATGGAGAAGAAGATCTTGCATTGAAGCATGAATGGTTGATGAACTCTCCTGATTCCAATTATTAAACTGGTTTCTCTCATAATGTTCTTCTTCCATTTGTACTTTATGTTTCTTTATTCTTTCTTCATGGTGGATCACTTGGAATGGCTCCTCAAAATCTTTATTCTCCTGCCCATTATTGCCTCCAAAGGAAAAGAGAAATGAAAATGATAACAAAGTTACGAGAAAAGATCAAATTGTAGAAAGTCAAGTGAATTACCTTCTACATTTTTACGAAATTGCAATATACAGATAATCCTTGAGCTACGAATGTAATGGAGCCTGCTGATTACATTTATACCTCAAAGATTTGTTAAGAGGATCCCGTTCTATGAATGAGTCCCTATGCCTACTCCACCCATACATTTGTAAAATGCCTTCAGTTTTCTAAGGAGCAGGCGGTTTCTCTTCGCTCGGTGGGTAATTACTGCTAAAGTGAGGGTGCCGCTTGCAACAAGAGCAAGAAGAATGCTGCTCTTTCATTTTGGCCAATGGGGATTTAGGAAGATGCAACGAGAGAAGCTGCTAAAACCTGAACGGTTTCTTTTTCCTCCTTCATCTTGACAATTAAAGTGCACAAAGTCTAAAACACACAGTGTCATGGCTGACATTCTGCAAGCCAACTATTGCAAGGTGAAAGCCTGACATTATCAATTGGCGAAGGGAAGAAAACGATTGGAATGTAAGGAGGAGGCGGGGGTGGGATAGAAATCAAGCCATGCCAGCCCGAGGCATTAGAAACATCAGCCAATCCAAACATCTGAATGCAGAACTAGAAAGCCTGAGAACCAAAGGTCCGTTCCCCAAGCAAAATCTAAACATGTAATTGGATATTAGCTTATAACAAGGGAATAGCCGGGGAAAAGGGAAAGTTAATTGCATCTTTTGCATGCGAAAATGCCAGATCCAGCTTTGCCGCTCTTGTAACCACTTTGGCTTTAATAAAATATATTTTTGGCTCAACAAAGGGCTAGGGGTTGTTCCTTTCCTGGAGCAGGAAGTTGGGATGGGCGACACACAGCTTCTCTTACAAGTTTAGAAGAGCCAAAGCAAAGAAGGCTTTGTGTTATAGTGTATGCTAATACTTTGCAAAATAAGGCAAACTTGCTGGCTCTCTTCCCCCAAACTAAGCTGTTATTATTATGTTAATGCTGGAAAAAAAAGAAGGGTTTCACCTTACTAGATAGAACTGCAGGTTCCTCCCCAAGGTTTAGCTGTGTTTGCTACTGCCTTAGGAAGAGAAGATTTCGCTTTAAAAGCAAGAGCTGCTCGGAAACGGCCCCATTTGCAAGCAGAAGAAGCTTTCAGTCTACATCATTTCACGGTCTGTGCAAAAAGTGTTTGGGTGCCTGTGGGGCGCTTAGTACCAAACTGCTGGTTTCCTAACAATAAGCAGTTAAGGTGGGTTACCCACTTTCTACCGAAAACATGCTTAGCTTCTATTCCTGGCCCCAAATCACAGTAACCTTCCATTCTCCACTGAGCTTGGCACATTACTGCCCAGCTCCACTCGCTTTTCCAAAGCATTCATTTGCTAGCCTGCTTTCCATGTCCATAACATTTCTCAGTCACCGCGGAGCTGAACAGCTTGGCATACCACCGTCAAAATCCCCTCTCTTCCCCAAACCATTCCTTCAATGACCGCCGCTCATGCAGGGAAACAAAGGAAGTTTGTGGGACCAAAAAAAAAAAAAAAGGTCAATCAACCTTCCAACTTCTCAGACACACACACACAAAAAGATCTCGAAAGTTGGAAGGTCTGGTTGAACTTTTTTTTAGCCCTGCAAACTTTTGTTTCCCTGCATGTGGCAACAGAGAAATGCAACTGGGCTGGAAAGCAGGTTAGTGAAGGAAGCTTTGGGGAAGAGATGGGAGCTGGGCAGTGGTGCAAAGCTGGCATCTACTGAAATGGGGTGGCATTCCAGCTTTGATACGGAAAAGGTAGCCAGGCACAGATGCTGCAGGCAGGATGCCTGGTAGCTTCAGCACCCTCCCCGACCCTCCGGGACTCTGCCTACTGCTTGGGTAGCTGTGTGGATAGAGTTGCGAAGAGGGCCAGGTGGTCGAAACTGCCACCCCAGGGATGATGCAGAGGTGCAGGCCTTCAGAGCTGCCGCAAATGAAATGGCAAACAGGGATCAGGAAGCGTGAGGCAGTGTGTTCAGGACCAAAGTAGCAGGTGGAGGAGACAGCGTCCAGCAGGCACAGGGTGGCAGGGATCTAAAAAAGCCCCTCCCGCAGCGGCAGAAGCCTTTTGCCATAACTCCCTCCTGGCTTTGAAACAGTGGAGGGAGAGTGGGTGAGGGGACCAAGTCTCTCTCCCACCCATACTCCGTAATATGGCACTCCACCTCAAGAGGAGGGAAAGGAAAGAGGCACGTGGACAGCCGGGTCATTGAATGGCCTGGGAGAGGTCACCAGTGGGGAGTGGTCTGGTTGCGGGGGCCCTGAGGTATGCGGGTATGGGATGCATGGGGAACCTTTCCCGCCACCAGCCTCACCTCACCTCATGGTGGTACTGTGCACTCTGCTGCCCCATTGCAAACAACTAG